GCATTTGATGGCCCACAGTGAATAATGCTCAGACTTGAGTTGCTAGATCTGTTTGAAGTCTGTCCCATTTAGCACTGTGCCGTGGTCTCTCTTACAGTTACTGTCATTGATATTAACGGGTACTGTAGGAATTCACTGAAACACCCCATTCAGCGTACTTTTAAAGTGAACGCAATCTAGACAGGAACTAATGGGGGTCCCCATTTCCTTTATTCATTCATGGGATGAGGGTGTCGCTGATTAGGCAACATTTATTCCCTAGGAGGGCAGTTATGAGTCAACCACATTGCTGTGGGTCTGGAGTCAGATGTATGCCTGACTAGGTAAGGATGGCAGTTTCCTTCCCTAAAGGACATTAGTGAACTCAGATGGGTTTTTCCCAACAAATTGGCAATGGATTCATCATCATCATTAGACTCTTAATCCCAGAGATTTTATTGAATTCAAATTCCACCATCTACTGTGGCGGGATTCAAACCCAGGTCCCCAGAACATTACCTGGGTCTCTGGATTAACAGTCCAGCAATAATACCACTAGGCCATTGTCTCCCTTGCCAGATTTCAGTGTTTTATTTTCACTGTGATATACTGTGTTGTTTCTAATGTCTAGCTGAGCCTATAAAGTTCAATTCTGATCAGTGATATTTTATAAAGACATTGGAGACAGATTGGAGGTAGCGGTTTTGCTTTAGGTGTATTCAAAGAATTGAGCCAAAAAATACTGATTATATTTCACTTCAGGTTTTCACTCATTACAAATGTAAAATCTACCATCAAACAGCATAATTAGTTAATGTATTTTTTTCTTTTCTGAGACCATAAGATCATTAGATGTGGGAGCAGAAGTAAACCATTCTGTCCATCAAGTCAGCTGAGCCATTCAATGAGATTAGAGCTGATCTGATCATGTACAACCCCACTTTCCTGATTTTTTTCCCCATAACTCTTGACTGCCTTACTGATTGAACATCTATCTATGTCAACCTTGAATATACTTAACAATTCAGCCTCTATAGCTTTCTGCAGTAAAGAATTCCACATTTCACTACTCCCTTAAAGAAGAAATTCCTCTTTATCTCTGTCCTAACAGGGCAAGCCCCTTATTGTGAGATTATGCCCTCTGGTTCTAGACTTGTCCACAAGGGAAAACAACTTGTTTACCCCTGTCAAGTCCCCTAAGAATCTTATATGTTTCAATTAGGTCACCTCCCATTCTTCTAAACTCCAACAATTACAACCCCACCCTGCACAATCTCTCTTCATAAGGAAATTCCTCCATCAGCCTTCCAAACCTTCTCAGGACAGTGTCCAATGCCAGTATATCTTTCTTCAATAAGGGGACCGAACTGTTCATAGTATTCCAAGTGTGTTCTGATCAGTGCCTTGTATAGTTCCTTATTTTTGTACTCCATTCCATTTGAAATAAAGGCTAACATTCCCTTTGCTTTTCCTGTTGTCTGCTGAACGTGCGTGCTAGCCTTTTTGTGATGTATGCACAAGGTCTCTCAAATCTCCCTGTGTTGCAGAATTTTGCCGATTCAATCCGTTTAAATAATATTTAGCTCCTCTAATCTTCCTGCCAAAGTGCATTAATTCACATTTTCTCACATTTTATTCCTTCAGCCACAATTTTTGCCCTCCCACTTAACCTACTTCTATCCCTCTGTAGAGTCTTTACGTCATTCTCACCACTTGTCTTCCCAATTTGTCTTTAGTACATTCATTTCCCACATTCAAATTAATATTTTGTACGTAATTGTGTCTCCAGCATTGATCCCTGCAACGATCCTTTACTTACAAGTTGCCTTGCTGAAAATAACCCCTTTATCCTAATTCTGTCCTCCATTACTTAGTCAATCTTCCAGCTATGCTAATACACTACCCTTATCACGATGGGCTTTTAACTTGTTAAGTCATGAAATGTCCGGTTTCTTGTCAAACACTTTTTGGAAATCCAAACATATTACATCTCCTAGTCTCCCTTTATCTATGCTGCCTGTTATCTCCTCAAAGAATTCCACTAAATTTGTCAGACCTGCTTTCTCCTTCATGAAGCCATCCTGAGGAGTGATATACTGGCCATGGAAAGAATGCAGTGAAGATTCACCAAACTGACTCCTGCAAGGGTGGGATGTCTTATGAGGAGAGATCAAGGAAACTGGCCCTGTACTTTCTAGAGTTTAGAAGAATGAGAGGTGATCTCATTAAAACAAACAAAAGTCATACTGGGATTTACAGGGTGCATGCAAAAAGGATGTTTCTTGCTGCCTTGAGGGGACAGTGATCTAGAAACAAAGGTCACAATTTTAGATTAAGGGGGTAGGCCATTTAGGACTGAAATGATTTCCATTAGATGGTAATAAATCTTTGGAATTATTTATCCCAGAGGCCAATGGAGACTCAGTCTTTGTGTATATCCAAGACAGAGATCATTAGCATTCTGGGCAATAATGATTTCAAGGGATTTGGAGTAAGCACAGGAAAATGGTGCTACGGGAGAAGATCAGCCAATAGCTAGTTGAATGATGGAGCAGGTTTGAGAGTGCAGATGACCTCACATTGCTCCTATTTCATGTATTCCAACGGAAGGGATTCCACCCTCTTAGCTGGTCAGTGGAGGGGTTTGGGAGCCCTCGTGAATAAATCACAACAAACTATCACACAGGTTTAGCAGGTGATAGGAAAGGTAAATGGAATATTGGCCTTTATTTCAAAGGGAATTAAATAAGGAGGTCTTGCTAAAACTATACGAGGCACTTGTTAGACCAACGCTGGAATATTATGAACAGTTTTGGTGAATCCTTGGAATTCTTTACTGCAGAAGACGATAGAGGCTGGGCTGTTAAGTATATTCAAGACTGAAGTAGATAGATTTTAATCACTGAGGGAATCAGGGGTTATGGACATAAGACAGGAAAGAGGAGTTGAGGATGATGAGATCAGCCATAATCTCCTTAAATGGTGGAGAAGACTTGATGGGCTAAATAGCCTACTGCTGCTCCTAAATCTTATGGTCTAAAAGTGAAGGTTGATTCTTGGCACTCTAGTGTAGAACTGACGGAGTGGGAAACAAATGTGATTTCTTTTTTGCTTGTTTAAAGAACGTAATTTGGCTGGCTACAGAATTTATTGCCCATCTCTAATTGCTGTGGAGAAGGTCGTGGTGAGCTGCATTCTAGAATCACTGCTGTCCTTGGCTTATAGGGACACCCTCCGGGCTATTAAGAATGGAGTTCCAGGGTTTTGGCCCAGTGAAGGATTAGCAACATACTTCCAAGTCAGGATGGTGTGTGACTTTAGGGGAATTTGCAGGTGGTGGTGTTCTCATGCATCTGCTGCCCATTTCCTTCCAGGTGGTAGAGCTTGTGGTTTGGAAAAAGCAGTGGAAGGAACCTTGGTGAGCCACTGGTTTTCAAGTTTGCAGATGCCACAGAACTGGGTGGGAATGTGAGCGGTAAAAAGAATGCAAAGAGGCTTCAAGGAGATTTATGAAAGCTGAGGAAGTGGTCAAGAGCATGGCAGATGGAATATACTGTTGATAAGTGTGAGGTTATCCACTTTGGTAGGAGAAATGAAGAGTATTTCTCCAATGGGGAAAGATTTGGAATTGTTGATGTCCAAAGGGACTTGGGTGTCCTTGTACACAAGTCAGTGAAAGCCAGCATGTAGGCGCAGCCAACAATTAAAAAGGCAAATAATACCCTGGCTTTTATTGCAAGAGATTTGGGTAGAGGATAAAGATGAGAGTTGATCTCATACAAACATAAAACTATTATTCCAGGGTAGATAAAAAAGATGTTTCCCTTTCCCCTAGCATGTTCAGCTCTTGGGGACATCATGTCAGAACAAGGGGATGACTATAGCCTGAGATCAGAAGGAATTTCTTCACTCAGAGGATGGTGAATATTTAGAATTCTCTACCCCAGGAGGTAGGAACATTCAATCATTGAGAATGTTCAAGTCTGAGACTGCTAGATTTCTAGACACAAATGAGATTAAGGAATATGAATTAAAAACAGAAATTGCTGGAAAAGCTCAGCAGGTCTGGTAGCATCTGTGGAGAGGAATCAGAGTTAATATTTTGGGTCCAGTGATGCTTCCTGACTTGTTTCAGTTTTTAATTGAGGAATATGAAGTTAGTGCTGGAAAATGGTGCTGAGGCAGATATGGGGCCATGATCTAGAATGCAACAGGCTAGAGGGGCTGAATGGCCTACTCCAGTTCCTGTCTTTTGAAGAATCATAGGGCCAGTATTTTGGATGAGATTGCAAATTGAGGGCCCCAACTGCCCTCTCAAGTGGATGAATCGACCCTCTTTTGAAGGAGAGCAGAGGAGTTCACCCCGATGCCTCGGTGAATATTTACCCCTGATCTACCTGACAAAATACTGAGTCTCTCCTGGTTAACAGAACACTGCCTGAGAGAGCCGGCCCTGTGCGAATGGGCGGTCGTATCTACAACATTAAAGGGTCGAGTGGACTTGACAAACTATGACAGGAAAGCTCTACATAAACACAAGTTTTTTTTTCAAAACTAATGGTGATGAGAGAGAAACTTGCTATCCAGTTCCAGGCTATAATTTAAGCTTCCTGGGTTAAAAGCTTGATTTGGGAAATTAAGATTTGTTTACGCTTCCCTGAAATGTACACATACCTTGTTACTCGCTGCCTTAGTATTTTTTATATAAAAAAGAGATTAATAACGGAATGTTTTTGCTTTATACTGAACCATACCATTAAAGCTCACACGTTTTAAGATCTGCCAAGGGTTTTAGATAGACTAATGCAATGTGTACCCCCACCCGCTTTGAGCTGGAGAGAAAGGTTAATGGGGAGGGGAGGGAAAAGAGACTGGAAGAAAATATTGATAGGGAAAGGGATGATTTAAAACGTGGGAAGTCACAACGAGAGCCTGAGCCCACCCACCTCGCTTAGTGCGCCAGTCATTTACGGTAATGTGTTTTAAAAGAAGGTTCATTTCCTGATCACGTAGCAGCGAGGGAACTGTTATCTTGTTTCTATAATAAAAAAAAAGCCGAAGGAGGAGTTGGGGGGTGGTGAAAGTGTGTGGAGGAATCGAGGCCAGGGATTTCTGGGCCATTCCTTTAGTGTTCGGGAGAGGGAGTTGGGCTCAGATGGTGACAGGGAGCCGCTGAAGTTGTTGGTTCCCTGGCCGGGGGAGCTTTAGCGAGCAGCTTGTTGTATCCATTTGCTCGGTTACATTGTGACAGCCATGGGGACGTGTTACAGTCTCAGGTCGCGGCTTATCGGTCCCCACAGCGCCTCCAGCATCGCGTACTCCGGGGGCCGGCCGACCAACGCCATCGCCGGCGGAGGGGAAGGCGAAGCTGGCCAACACGAGCATCCGGACGGGCAGCTGAGAGAGCGGCTCCGGTCTGAGGAGAAAGCCCGCCTCAAAGCGGATAAGAAACGGAGCCGCAGCATCGACAAGAGCCTGAAGGCGGAGAAGCGCGAGTACAAGCAGACCCACCGGCTCCTACTGCTCGGTAAGTCTCCCTTCAGCTCCGTCCTCCCGCCTGGCTTCCACCTGTCATCCTCCTCAATAAACCAGCAGTTTGTAACTTTCTAGCTCCTGCGGCTGCAGTTCGGGCTAAAGACTGTCACGGATCTCATGGGTCCTAAAGAAAAAAAAGTCAGGATGAGCACGCACTGTCCTCTGGCCTTGAAGGATATGGCTGGCTTTAGGGAGTCAGTGCTGTACGGTGCACTTCAAAATTTCACCTTTGTGAGAACAGACTTTTTATTCTGCTGTGGATGTTTGTGGGGATGGGGAATGGGACTGTGGTTTGAATAAGTGGGGTCTGACTGTCACACATGGCTGATGGAAAGTGGTACAGCTCCTGTGACTAACTATGTAAATCTGAAGTCATCCAAAACCATCTTCGCTTTGCTCCCTAGCCTGGCCTTGGCTCCTGGTTCAGCAACATTCGCTTTAATTCTGTGTTCGACTAACACCATAGCCTCGCTCTTTCTGTAACTTCCCCCAGATCATAACCCTCTAAGAACACTGTGTTCCTCCATGTCTGCGGCCTTACCCACAGATAGATTATGGTGTAGTTAGTGGTAATGTCACTGGATAAATAACCCTGAGGCCCATGTGTAGGCTGTGCACTCAAATCCCCACCATGATAGGGATGAAATTTAAATTCGATGAATAAAACTAGACTGTAAACATTCTTGGTACTGAGAACTGTCCTTAATTATTCTAACAGCCCAACTGGTTCACTGATCTCTTTTGGGAAGGAAATCTGCCATCTTTACCAAATTTTGGCTTAAGCTTGACTCCAGATCCATAGCAATGTACTTGATTTATAACAGCCCTTGGGAGGGGGCAAAAACCTCAAGCAAGATGCTCAGTTCAAGAGCACTTAGGAATCAACAGCAAATGTTGGCCTTGCCACACTGCGTGAAAGGATAAAATTTCACTTAACTTGACATCCTACAACTAGTGACTGTGTCTTGCCTAATCTTTGGAATTCTTTTCTTAAAATCAACCTCTTCGAGCAAACTTTTGATCGTCTAAACTGATGTTGGCCCTTTGATTATTGTCTGATTACTATTCAGTGAAGATGCTTTCCTCCCTAAAGGTGTTATATAAATATCAGTTCTTGCGTTGTGTCCTGTCTCATCACATGCAAAAGCGGTCAATTCAACCAGTTCGTCTTCTATGATAATTAAAACTCCTCCAGTACCTCTGTTATCAACTTGTCCACATCCTGCTCTGGGTGAGCTGCAGCTTCTTCCCAATTAATATTGTAAAGTCTGAGGCCCAGACCTTCTGCTCCTGCTATGAAGTCTTTGCAACAATTCTCCCTTCTTCAAGAATGATCTCACGCTGGAGCAGACTATTTGAAGCCATGGTATACTGTTCAACTTGGAGCTTCTTCTCTGTTTCTGTATTGTCCCAATGTTGAAGATTGTTCATTTCAACCTTTGCATTATCACCTTCCCTACCACAACCTCCCTGTGGCTGAAACCAGATCATTCTATGCTGAGATAACAAGGTGTAGAGCTGGATGAACACAGCAGGCCAAGCAGCATCAGAGGAGCAGGAAAGCTGACGTTTTGGGCCTAGACCCTTCAGAAAAAAATGCTGTCCTGGTTAGTTACCCGTTGTCTGTAAACGTCTATTCTGTCAATATCCTGTTGCCTGTATACTGTGGTGCAATGGTGTTTGATGGCTATATTGCTGGTTTATTAATCCAGAAGCCTAGGCTAATGCTTTGGGAACATGTATTCAAAACTTCAATTTGTAGATGTGGAATACGTAACCATTTCCTTGAGAGATGAATATAAAAAGCACATCTGAGTCTTCTTTGAAAGAGTGGACTTTCAGAGGGTTAGTGAGAGTACTGTAGCTTCTCTTCAGTTTGCTTGGCATATTGATGGTCAGTATCAGGTTGTTACATTGGTAAGAGTCTGCAGTTTTTGTTACTTCTGATTGGTAAATTGCACTGTGTAAAGGCATCTGCAAACTAACATTTCATGTATTAGACTGATTATAGCCCCAGCTTGAATGTTGACCCCTTTCAGGTGTTAGCTGACTTGCTGTGCATTTTTTTTCTTGCATTTTAATTAAATTTTGCAGCAGTGATACTTGTTTCTGTTTAATTTTGTTGACGTATTGATGGCTACATTTTTCTAGTTTTGGTTAACTTCTCCTTTTTTTGATGACATGAATATTCATCAGGAGGGTGGCGCCCAAAGGTGATGACACACAACCTGTGAAGAAAGTGTTTGGTACGCTTGCCTTTATTGGTCAATGAATTGAGTATAGGAGTTGGGAAGTCATATTGCGGCTGTACAGGATATTAGTTAGGCCACTTTTGGAGTATTGCATACAATTCTGGTCTCCCTGCTATAGGAAAGGTGTTGTTAAACTTGGAAGGCAGAAAAGATTTAGAAGGATGTTGTTGGGGTTGGAGGGTTTGAGCTATAGGGAGACACTGAATAGGTTGGGGCTATTTTCACTGAAATGTCGGAAGCTGAAGTGTGAATCTTAGAAACTTGTAAAATCTTGAAGGGCATGGATAGGGAGAATAGCCAAGGTCTTTTTCCCCAGGGTAAGGGAGACTAAAACAGAGAGCATAGGTTTAAGGTGAGAGGGGAAAGATGTAAAAGAGACCTAAGGGGCAACTTTTTCATACAGAGGGTGGTGCGTGTATGGAATGAGCTGCCAGAGGAAGTGGTAGAGGCTGGTACAGTTACAACATTTAAAAGGCACCTGGATGGATATATGAATGGGAAGGGTTTCGAGCGATTTATAGGCCAAATACTAGCATATGGGACTACATTAATTCAGGATATCTGGTCGGCATGGAAGCATTGGACCAAAGAGTCTGTTTCTGTGCAGTATTCTATAGCTCCAAGGTGAAGATGACCAATTGCCAGAGCTGTGATTATTGAGGAAATGCTGGGCATGATTTTCATAATTGACAAGAAACACATGGACAGCAAGCCCATTTGTCCTGTTTTAAGGCTGAGTGATATACCTCGAGGTAGGTTATTTTTCCACTCAGTTCGTTCCTCTCTAGTACATCATGTTCCATGAGCACCTGCCCCACCACCCCCAAATAAGAGGCCAATCATCATCTTTAAGCTGGACAGTGAGGGGTTAGTCTTCATTTTGTGTAAGAATTGTGAAACAGGCAATAAATTCATAGCATCAAAGGGTCCCTGTAGTGTAGAAGCAGGCCATTCAGCCCATCAAGTTCACACTGGCCCTCCAAAGAGCTTTCCTCCACCACCACCACCACCACCACCCATCCCCTCCCTATCCTCGTAACCCTGCAGTTCCCATGGCTAACCCACCCAGTCTGCACACGCCTGGATACTATGAGCAATTTACCATGGCCAACCCACCTAACCTGTGCATCTTTGGACTGTGGGAGGAAGCCCATGCGGTCACAGGGAGAATGTGCAAACTCTACACAGACAGTCACCTGAGGGTGGAATCGAACCCGGGACCGTGGTGCTTTGAGGTAGCAGTGTTAACGACTGATCCACTGTGCCACCCAAGTTGACGGCTTATGTTATATCTCTCCAAATTTTCAGTTACAAGGTAATGGAAATAACTATCAGAGGAAGATGTGGAACGGGTTGCCAGTTTGCTATCAGCAGTTTCACACTTGTTGGGTATTACATAAAGTTAAAATGCTAAAATGTCAAAATGCTACTGAAGCACAAACCAGCTGAAGCCCGACATGATCACTTGTCAGACAGATTTGTGGCATTCTGATATGTACTGAGAGCATTGGCCGGTTATTCCCCTCCTCCCAACCAATCTTGCCCAGTTCACCCTCACACCATCCCTCACCTTTGCATTGCAGAGTGCTGAGGCAACTCCAATATATTGTTGCTAAAAAGTAACCAAAATATGTGATCCTCCCCTTCTCTCTGGGATGGTATCATATCACATAGGCCAAAGGCTTTATTTGAGGGAGAGGGAGATCAAGATCAAGCGTGTGCAGCCTGGTGGCAGCTGGTATGCTAACACATCTGTGTTTGTGAACATGTTCAGAAGTATTAAAAATGTGTGGCTGATCGCCTGAGAGATGCGTAAATAATGTCCTATTCAAGAACTGCACTTCTGGGTTGATGTTGACTGCTCTGACTTGCGATAGCAGTGAAACCAAAAGCAGCTGGGATTGGTGTCCATGACTCAGTTTATTTTACATAATCCATAAGAGTGTGGAATTGTAGCTGGCTCAGGTTTCACCCCTTGGGTGAAGATTGGAGTGGTTTTGTAAAGAGGATCATTGCAACGTGGCTTGTTGTTGTTATACGTATCATCAAAAAGACTGAGTAGATGGTGTAGCTTTTAGTGGATCTTGGGTTGGGCCCAAGGTTCTCTATAGCTGAAGGATGGATGGCATTACAGTCCTTTTCGACAAGCAAAGTGATGTTCTGCATGATCCTTGGCATCCGTAGAAGTGTAGCATAAAGTATGCCTACCTAAAGACCATAAGATATAGGGATAAAATTAGGCCATTCGGCCCATCGAACTGCTCTGCCATTTGATCATGGCTGATGTGTTTCTTAACCCCAAAGGTGCAGCCAAATAACATCATGAAACCTCAGCAGCACCTCAAAACATATTCCAATTCATCCCACTCCACTGAGTCCTGTAAATGGTTCCCTTTCTCCCGTTTTTGATCGAATCTGCTTCCACTGCTGACCCTGGCAGTACGTTCTAGATTGTGACAGCTCAGTGTATTCAATTTTGTTAAAGAAAAGTTCTCCTTATCTTGTTACTAGTTCTTTTTCCAGCCAGTCAATTTGGTTATCTACCTGGCAATGGAAACAGTTTTTCAAAACACTTCATCTTTTTGAAGACCTCTTAAAATCTCTCTTCTAACCTCCCTGTCTCAAATGGAGAACAATTCCAGCTCTCCCCATATCCCTTATTCCCTGGCATCACTCTGTAGAATCTCCTCTGCAACCTCTTGAAGGCTGTGACATTCATTTTAAAGAGCCGCTCCCACAA